CTGGTACAGAAACAGCACTAGATCTTACATTAGTGTCAGATATTCATTAGCAGGCATTTGCACATGGGAAGTAGTTAGAGGAACGACTGTAGGAATTGACCATTATCCCATTGTAATAGTAGTAGGCTTGAGTCTAGAGGAATATGAAACAGTAGGATTTCAGAAATGGTCATTCAGTAGTGCTGAATGGGATAAATTTAGGAATATTAGTGATCAAGAAATTGAAAAAAATTGATAGAAATAAAGATGTTGATAATTTAAATGTTTCATTTTATAAAGTTGTTGTAGAGGCTGCAGAGAACTCAATAAAGAATAAGGCAGGTAAGCGCAAAAGTACGATTGTACCATGGTGGACAAAGGAATGTGAAAGAGCGATAAAATCTCGAAATAAATCTTTTAAAGCGTTAAAAAGGAATCACTGTTTTCAGAATCTTATTGATTATTAGAATTTACAAGCAAATGTAAGGAGAATCATAAAAACTGCAAAGAAAGAATATTGGAGGAAATTTTGACAGACATTGGTAAAGTTTGGGGTATGATAAAAAGAATGAATGGGATAAAAAGAGAGTCTGGGTACCCAGTCTTAAATGATGGACAAACAATAGCAGTGAGAGATGAGGAGAAAGCAGAGATGCTGGCTAAAACTTTTGTAACAATTCACAGTTCAAATAATATTAGTGAAGAGGGAAAAAGAGGGAGGGAAACAACAGCAAGGGAGAGTGAAGAGTTACAACAAGAAGAAAATCCTAATGACCTATTAAACAAACCCTTTACAATGACAGAACTAAAACGCAATCTCCAGAAAACCAAGATGTCAGCACCAGGAAACGATCAGATTTGTTATATAATGATAAACCAGCTCAGTGAAAATTCAAAGGATGTATTACTTGAACTATATTATAAAGTATGGGTGGATGGGAAACTGCCACAGAGCTGGAAGGAGGCTGTGGTAGTGCCAATACGCAAACCAGGAAAAGACTGTACAAATCTGGGGAATTATAGACCAAACGCTTTAACATCCAACATATGCAAATAATGGAGAAAATGGTAAATGAAAAGTTAACATACTGTATGGAAAAGAAAGGATATATAGCGAAATACCAATGTGGCTTTAGGAAAGGAAGAAATACAATGGATCCAGCTGTATGTTTCGAGCATGAAATTAGAAAAGCACAAGTAAGCGTGTAGTGGCTGTCTTCTTTGACATAGAGGAGGCATACAATATGATGTGGAGAGAAGGATTGTCTCAATTAGGAATCAAAGGACGAATATATAGATGGATTAAGGACTTTTTACAAGGGAGATTAATACAATTTAGAATAGGGAAGAGTTATTCAAGAAAATATATTGTTGAGAACAGAACACCTCAAGGGAGCATAATAAGTCCTTTATTATTCTCCATAATAATTAATGATGTTTTCAGGGAAATAGAGAATGGGATGGGGTTTTCACTTTTTGCGGATGACTATGCGATTTTTACAAAGAAAAGAATTGGTACTGAGGTAAAACTAAAGTTATATCATCAAGAATTGGAAAGAGTGAAACAAGTTTTGGGGGTTATGGTTTGATGAGGGAATAACATGGATACAGTGGGTACGGAAAGTATTCAGACCCCTTTAAATTTTTCACTCTTTGTTTCATTGCAGCCATTTTCCAAAAATCAAAAAGTTCATTTTATTTCTTAGTAATGTACACTCAGCACCCCATCTTGACAGAAAAAAACAGAAATGTAGAAATTTTTGCAAATTTATTAAAAAGAAAAACTGAAATATCACATGGTCATAAGTATTCAGACCCTTTGCCGTGACACTCATATTTAACTCAGATGCTGTCTGTTTCTTCTGATCATCCTTGAGATGGTTCTACACCTTCATTTGAGTCCAGCTGTGTTTGATTATACTGATTGGACTTGATTAGGAAAGCCACACACCTGTCTATATAAGACCTTACAGCTCACAGTGCATGTCAGAGCAAATGAGAATCATGAGGTCAAAGGAACTGCCTGAAGAGCTCAGAGACAGAATTGTGGCAAGGCACAGATCTGGCCAAGGTTACAAAACAATTTCTGCAGCACTTAAGGTTCCTAAGAGCACAGTGGCCTCCATAATCCTCAAATGGAAGACGTTTGGGACGACCAGAACCCTTCCTAGAGCTGGCCGTCCGGCCAAACTGAGCTATCGGGGGAGAAGAGCCTTGGTGAGAGAGGTAAAGAAGAACCCAAAGGTCACTGTGGCTGAGCTCCAGAGATGCAGTCGGGAGATGGGAGAAAGTTGTAGTAAGTCAACCATCACTGCAGCAATCCACCAGTCGGGGCTTTCTGGCAGAGTGGCCCGACGGAAGCCTCTCCTCAGTGCAAGACACATGAAAGCCCCATGGAGTTTGCTAAAAAACACCTGAAGGACTCAAAGATGGTGATAAATAAGATCCTCTGGTCTGATGAGACCAAGATAGAACTTTTTGGCCTTAATTCTAAGCGGTATGTGTGGAGAAAACCAGGCACTGCTCATCACCTGTCCAATACTGTCTCAACAGTGAAGCATGGTGGTGGCAGCATCATGCTGTGGGGGTGTTTTTCAGCTGCAGGGACAGGACGACTGGTTGCAATCGAGGGAAAGATGAATGCGGCCAAGTACAGGGATATCCTGGACGAAAACCTTTTCCAGAGTGCTCTGGACCTCAGACTGGGCCGAAGGTTTACCTTCCAACAAGACAATGACCCTAAGCACACCGCTAAAATAACGAAGGAGTGGCTTCACAACAACTCCGTGGCTGTTCTTGAATGGCCCAGCCAGAGCCCTGACTTAAACCCAATTGAGCATCTCTGGAGAGACCTGAAAATGGCTGTCCACCAACGTTTACCATCCAACCTGACAGAACTGGAGAGGATCTGCAAGGAGGAATGGCAGAGGATACCCAAATCCAGATGTGAAAAACTTGTTGCATCTTTCCCAAAACGACTCATGGCTGTATTAGATCAAAAGGGTGCTTCTACTAAATACTGAGCAAAGGGTCTGAATACTTATGACCATGTGATATTTCAGTTTTTCTTTTTTAATAAATTTGCAAAAATTTCTACATTTCTGTTTTTTTCTGTCAAGATGGGGTGCTGAGTGTACATTACTAAGAAATAAAATGAACTTTTTTGATTTTTGGAAAATGGCTGCAATGAAACAAAGAGTGAAAAATTTAAAGGGGTCTGAATACTTTCCGTACCCACTGTATCAAGCACATCTCTCAAAAAGTTAGAAAACATTCCGTTTCAGGCTTTGAGATTATGCACAGGGGCCTTTAAAACAACTCCAACGGCAGCATTACAGGTGGAAATGGGAGAAATGCCCCACAAGTTGAGAAGAATACAGTTATCTCTGAATTACTGGGTTAATTTACAGGGCCATAGTGAAGATCACCCAGCACAAACCTTGTTGGGAAAAGGAGAGGAGGGAAACAACAGCTTTGGGTGGACAGTTATACAAAAAGCAACAGAGTTAGAATTAACTGAATTAAAATTCAGTCCAACAGTACCACTGCCAGCAGTACCACCTTGGGTACTACCTGAAGCGACAGTAGATCTTACACTATTAGAAAAGAAAAACAAGGACAGGGACAGGGACAGTTTATTTTGAATTCACATACTATACAGGTGAGTTTGCATGTTCTCCCCGTGTCTGCGTGGGTTCTCTCCAGGAGCTCCGGCTTCCTCCCACCATCCAAAGACATGTGGCCTAGGTTGATTGGTGACCCTAAATTGTCCTTAGGTGTGAGCGTGAGCATGAGTGGTTGTTCGTTGAAAGTGCCCTGCGATGGACTGGCGACCTGTCCAGGGTGTACGCCGCCTTTCGCCCAATGCCAGCTGGGATTGGCTCCAGCCCCCCGCGACCCTGTACGCAGGATAAGCGGTTGACGATGGATTGATACTATACAGGCATATATTAATAGTTACCACAGTTATATCCAGATCTACACAGATGCATCAAAGAGTTTAGTTAATAAGATAGGAGTAGCTTTTATTGTTCCAGAGTTTCATATTACAATAGAGAAGAGGATTAGTGATAATGTATCAGTACACACAGGAGAAATGCTAGCAATTCTGTTGCAATGGATAGAAGAAATAAGACCACTGAGAGTGATTATTTGTTCAGATTCAACTTCATCACTAATCAGATTACAGAGCAGTCACCCAGACAGCAGAGCAGACATTTTGATAGAAATACAGCAAACATTATATAGAATTCAAATGATGGGCATTGCAGTCATATTTATGTGGGTGCCAGCACATATTGGAATCAAAGGAAATGAAATGGCAGATAAGGATGCAAAGGAAAGAATACATCAATGTGGCAGTTAACATCAGTAAGATGGAAATAAAGAGCATTATTAAACAGAGGCTGAAGAAAAGATGGCAAAAGCAATGGGAGGAAGAGAGGAAAGGACAGTGGTTTTACATAATTCAGAGGACAGTGGGAGAAATGAGATGTGCAGGAAGAAACAGGAGAGAAGAGACACTTATATCAAGACTTACATTTGGGCACACAGGATTAAATAGCACTTTATTCAAAATAGGTAAACATAAAGTACTGTGGGCAACAAGAGACAATCGAACAGGTCATGGTACACTGTAAGAAGTATGAGGGGAAAAGGAGGAAATTATCCAAAACCTTACAATGGAAAGAATACATTTTCATTTAATAGAAATTCTTAGAAAGAACTCAAGAGATAAGTGCTATGGAATTGTTTTTCATTATCTTAGAATAATCAATATGATTGAGAGGATCTGAATCTTTTTTTGTTTTTGTTGATTTGTTTTTGCTTTGTTTGGTATAAAATAAGTAGTAGTCATTCAGATCCAACACTCCATACCAGTTGGTGGCGGTAATGCACCATTTTGTTGTGTGCCAACCGCCAATACATTTCCATAAGGAAGAAGAAGAACCTAGAGGCTTGGGCTTGAGTAGTTTAGAGTCCGGTAGGGGGCGGTAAAGCATCGCTAAGCTGGTTTGCCAATCGCCAATAAATCCAAAGAAGTAGACGAAGTTAAACGTGTATCAGCTGAGCTGGCGGATGTGAAAACCTTATTTCATAGTACGTGATTTTAGAGTATAACGACAGATTATTGGGATGGAGAATGACATTCTCGTCTCTCTTGAAGATTTAGGGTAAGTCAAAAAACGTAGGCCTGATATGTCTGCCGCCTTGTGAAGCTCATGTGCAGAAGCGGCCGTTCCAATGAGCAGCCTTGCCTGTCTTTCGTTGGCCAGCGCATAACAGTGCAACGTTAGCTTGCTTTAGCAAAACGGCTAACGTTCATCTGATGGTGACGGATTTCTTTTCATAGCTATTATGTCCACCGTAGCCATTTATGTGGGTGCCTGTATTAATAGACCAACAGTCTGGTTTTACATGTTGTGCCACAAGCTGCGTCAGCTAAGCTACTCCCGTCATGATTCATACCAGGAGAGCGCCAGCACATTCCTTTCTACCAACCAGTTGTAGCCCCACTTTCTAAAAATAAATGAGTTGTTGATTCAGTGTTTCTTGGTTAATTACTCGTATGCTGATATATCCACTGGCTTCTCACAAGTAATTAATAGAGGTCCTGCGCCAATTTCGTGCTTTAGCCACATGTATGCTTCGCAATAAGAAAGACTTCTTAAATAAACCGATTTTAAAATGTAGTTTGGTGTCACTGAGGAACGCAGTTTGTACTTTGCAACAAGTCTTGAGTGTCAAACCTGCACTAAACCAAATATCAGTTCTGCTTATCATCACTGCCGTGCTGCACTGACAAGGGAAGAGTTGTGGTTCAGATTGAAGCTGGTTTTAGTTTCTGTATGAGCTGTGTGTTGGTGCCATTGTAGGTACCTGGGCCCTCTGTTGGAGGAAGGGGCTCTGGATTCTGCTGTGAGCAGAGGAGCCGCTTCACCTGAGTTCACTAAGCTCTGTGCCTGGATCATCTCAGAGCTTAGACTGTACTGCAAGCTGGAGGAAAATGTCCATGCCACCAACTGTAAGACATATTTTATCACTGTTAAATGAGGTTGCACCTGATGCAGAGTAAAGAGAATGGATTGAGTAGTGAAAACACATAGCATATAAGCACATAACATAATGCTAGGGGGATATTTGCTTTTCTTGCTAGCTGAAGGCATAAAAAAAAAGTTATACTTCAATGAAACATGCTATGGTTTGGGTTTTGTGAATAATTATTATAATTATTAAGCTTTTAACAGATGGTAGAAGTTCAAAATCAGCAGTGAAGATTATTGCCAAACACGCAATGTAGCTGGATGTACTGCTTGCTGTGTGTGAGATGTACCCAGACTATTTGTCTTACTCGCAACACGTTTGGTGTGTTTGTCCTTCTACCCCTCCCAGGTCCGAGCGAGGCAGAGAGCTTTCAGCTGGAGATGAGCGGTCTGCTGTCAGAGCTCGCCTGTCCTTATTCTATCCTCACCAGTGGAAGCATCACCCAGAGGCTTCTCAACAGGACCGACTGTCTGCTTCTCCTCAGTATGATAACAGCACTTTGCAACATCTCACTTTAAAGAGCAATTTAACCCTGAATCTTTTTATGGAAGAAAAGCATTGCTGCATTGACCCGTCGTGGACTGACAGGTTTCAGCCTGCTGTGCTATATTGTTCTGTACCACACCCAACTTTGATAAAGTTTTGCGCAGTCATATTGTGAACTGCTGTGCTACACTGGGTGTTGGCATTGCATGCAGCCACCACTAGATGCCAGCATGAGCAGCCTGTGTGCAGTTACTTTTTCAAGGCTGTGCACACCCACACAGCAGTTTGCAGTTATTCTGGCTGATTAGGCCTCTGCTCATGTGGAAGTTAGATGGAGCTATGCTGAAATCAATTCAGGTATATTTATATAGCACCAATTCCTAACAAGGGCACTTTTCATATAGAGCAAGTATAGACTGTACTCTTTGTAATACTATTGGCAGAGACCCAATAATTACCCATAATCAAAAGTAACAGGATATAGATGGAGATACGGAAGTCTAACAGTCTGTGCATGTCCAGTTGCCCTGCAGAGAGATCTAGTACCCACACCAACAGTCTATGCTGACACATTATATGTCCACTCTACAAATATCCTCACCCTCCCAGTTTTCTTCATTCAAACCCACGTAATGGACACATTCAAACATTTGTCTTTGTGTAAAACATTGATGTGCTGTGCTGGGAAATAGAAACGTCATTATGTTTGCATGTTCCATTCCCAATATGGCCACTACCAGAGTAAAAACTGTTACTGTTGCTACTGTAACTGTACTTTTAGGCCATGAAGTTCGGTGAGCTCACTTAATTCCCAGCATAGCCGTTTCCACCCTCCACCTGAGCAGATGTTTAATTAGCGATAACTAAACAAACACAAGAATGTGCAGGGCCTTTTAAAGGACCAGGCCTTCTCCATAGCAGACATTTTGACTTGTTGTGGTAGCAAAAGCACGGGTGGAACGCTGGCTCTGTTCCATTTAAATATTCTAGTGAGTAAGATGCACAAACCCGGTACATTGGAACTGATGCATCTAAGTAGAATATAACCATCAACATTGTTATTAACTCTGGCTGTAAGGGGGTTGTTCGGTTAATTAATCAACAACACAACAATGGATTGGCAGAATTCTGTCACAATTTTAAAATTAGCTGGGGGCTGGGCTAAAATCAGGTCAAATGTGCTTGCGCTTTCACACAGAGATCCCGCAATAAACTTGGAAATAATGCTGAACAAAATATTATGGCTTAATCCTGCATTCACATAGCAATCCAGCTTTCCGGGTTAGACTGTGGGGGACAAAAAAAAATGCTGATTTCTAACAACAGCATAGAAATTCCGCAGCTGTTCACACAGTCATTGTTCCGGCTCTGTTACTTCCAACAATCCCGGCCCCCTTTTCCACTCGGTACCTTTCAAACAGCCGATATATTGGCATAATAATCCCAGAAAATAAGGCAGTGTGAAATCACCTTGTATGTCTGCTTGGCTTAAATATAATGAAGCCATAATCATTGTTATTTGTTACACCTGCACTTTTCCGGCTTTTGGAATGGCCAATGACGGGTAGATTATCTTTATTCCATAGCAAATACAGCTGAATGATACACCCTTATGTAAAACCCTGGTGACTGTTTGTGTTCTCTTGTCACAAGGCAACTGTTTCAGCCAAATTTTTAAGTTGTTATCTAATTTCATATAGCATGGAAACAGTTTTAAATGACTTTCTGAAACCAAAGCATTCTGCGGCAATTACAATGTTACCAAATGTTTATTTCAGCCTTTCTGGTGTCTGAATTGGAGGCATCAAGGATGATTCTGGTTAATAAGCCTGAGAAGAAAGCCCAGGAGTCAGGCAGCCCTCTGTTTCAGGAACTGAAGGGCATCTGCATGGCGCTGGGCATGTCCAAGCCTCCAGCCAACATCACCATGTTCCAGTTCTTCAGTGGAATTGAGAAGAAGGTCAGTTGGTGACTGAAAAACTGAACAGCATCTATTAGGGTTAAATGTTTATTTCAAGCTGTTCGTGCTCTTTTAATTCCTGATAATAGTTACCGAAAAATCCCTTGCAGTACCACAGTGCAAAGTGGAGTGACTTTTATGTGTTATGATGGTCTGAATCCTTTTTCACAGGATATTTAATTAGATACAAAAAAAAAATTCTGGCAGCCCATTGGTTATGTGAAACATTCATTCATGAAGCACAAACAATTTAATCAGCCTCGTTCATGTTTCCAGCAGGTTGTCTGCGGTGTGTCTGACTGGTACAGCCTCGGACAGTTGACTTCAAAAGGCAGTTGATGCAGTGACATGTAACTGTGATCTCTGCAGTTAACGCAGTCCGACGGTAACAGTCGTTACAGTTACCTCGTCAACTGAAAGTAACTGCGCCTTAAGCTCCTCTTTCTTTAGGTTGTACCGCTTCTCAAGCTACAAGCAATGCGCACAAGCATCCACCACATTTATAGGCATTGAGTCCTTTTCCACCATAACGCAAAGCCTCTGCACATCCCTACAGCCTCTTGTAGCTAACACAGACACAGTGTTCCACTTTGTACTTGCACTGCAACTGTCGGGTGGTGACTTTTCAGGTGGTGCAATATTGACGCTGCACTGGATCTGTATTTGACAGTGTTATGCCCTCTTTGTCTTGTCTTACTGTGTCCTAATGAATGCTTTGTTGCCGCAGTAGTTTTTCTGAACTTCTATGGTGAAGTGCATCCTCTTGTGGTCTAAAAGTTAGTATACGTGAGCTCCGGAGAAATTTTACCCAAATTATACATTGTCTGTTAAATTCTTAACAGCAATTAATAGATTAATCATCAACATCCCTAGTCTAAACATACGGCCATGTTAACCACAGTCACTGCGTGAGAAGAAATGTAGTTGTACACGTTTCTACTCTTGTCAATGTGGTTGAATGTATTGATTTCCCATTTGATCTAATAAAATTTTTGTGTAGCTGAAAGAAGCCATTAGTAGAGCCCCACCAAATCACGTGGGAGAGCCTTTGATGAAGAAGGCCCTTGGACCTGTGCATATGGTAAATACTGAAAAACAATGAAGAAATACAATATAATTGAGGAACACTGCATAAGTGAATGAGCGTTAAATTAATATTCTCTTCTACTTGCTTTTCAGGAGAAAATTGAAGCTATAAACCAAGCACTTATAAATGAGTATGACGTGAGAAGAAAAATGTTGTTGAAACGTCTCGATGTGACAGTGCAGTCTTTTGGTTGGTCTGACCGAGCAAAGGTATGTGGAAACTTGGAACCTTCTAAATGTGAAAAGGGTACAATGCACTGAGGAAGCACAAATAAAGGGCCCCCTCAAAAATCAGATGGTTCATCTCAAGGGGCACTTCCTATTAAATAAACAAATAAAGTAGGGCTGCATTTTCTGCGCTATATTTTGCAGTATAAAAAAATACATACATTTTTACTAGATGACTTCAATTGCTCTAGTTGAAAAGAATTAAGCATCCTAAAATTGTTGGGGTGATTTTGTAAGGAAAATGCATAGAAAATAATAACAAATAACCCTAAGAAATGTCTTTTTAGTCTGAAGACTTCTGTTTAAGAACAAACCATAAACAGTAAACATACTTTAAACAAAATGATAAAAATAAGAGCAGTTATACACCTGCCCCCTGAGTGCTTTACAAAAGTTTCTTTTTGCAACCAAATCAATGTTGAGATGGTTTTCTCCTGTTCCTCGCTTATTTTCAAGTAAACAACCAAAAGGGGCGGGGCCTATTTTGGCTGTTTAATAAACTGATCATTGTGATTGGCGGTTCGCTGTGCATGCAGGGCCTGCTTGTCGCTCACTAGCAACAAACTCTGTGTATCCAAGAACACTTAAATCAGAGTAAATGATGTTACATAAGACAGACTTGTCTTGTAGATTAGTCAATGAAAATGAGAACCGAAAAAGTTGAGGTGGTTGACTTAATTTGGTTGACATTGCATTGTTCTGCAATGTGACTATTGCGCATGGACACATTGCGATGACGAGGCTGAAACGATATATTGTGAAGCCCTAAAATAAAGAATTTTAAACATTAATTCTTTGTACATTTTGTTTTTGCTTTAGCAATAATTAGGCCTGCCTTGTCCATGTGTCTGGTCTTTGCTCTACTGAGGAGAGAAAGCACAGTTGGTTATGGAAGAACGTTTTTTTTGTTGTTGTTTTTTTAACAAGTAGAGATTGGAATGGAAAAGGGAAATACAGCCAAAGATGCACTAAAAACATGTAGACAAATGAAATATTAATGTTTCTGCAAGAATCATTTTTTGTAGAACATCATCAAATGGCTTGTTTTGTCTGGTAAACAGTCTAAAATCTAAAGATTCTCAGTTTACTGTAATGTATGACAATGACAACCAGCAAATCCTCCCAATTTAGAAGCTGGAACTGTCAAATGTTTGGCATTTCTGCTTGAAGATTAACTAATTGATTATCAAAATAGTCAGCGATCATTTTCTGTTGGTCGATAAAGTGACTAATCTCTGCAGCTCTACACTTAATCATATTCTGACCTGACTGCAGCCACACCCACACTTTGGACTTGATTCTTCCCTCGGTCCTCTCAGTATCTGATAACTGTTGATGTTCAAGTACATGCGTCAAGCAGGATTTAAATCAAATAGTGCTTCTGCATGCCTGGAACGGAATTTCTGCAGTAAATCCCAAATGGATTATGTCACACACAATAAGACAACATAAAATACAGCCTCTGTTGATTAATGTTTATGTTCCAAAGAAAAGATGTATTGCTTTCCAAAAATGAATGATTTCCTCTTTGTATCTTATTACAGACGCATTCTGAAAAGTTGGCCAAAGTTTATCAGCCCCTTCGTTCTGCCCTCTGCACCAAAAGTAAAATCTCTGTGGCCCACCTTCTTGCTGCTCGACAAGATTTCTCCAAGATCCTACGGACAAGCAGTGGCAAGATAAGAGAGAAGTCTGCTTGTGCCATTAATAAGGTGGGTTAAACACAGAGGTCACAACATTTCTTTTATTTTTTTTATATATTCCATATGTTATTTTATCACTTTTTGTTTTGCTTATACGGGATGCACTAATGTAAATGTTCTCGTGACTGTTCTGTGTGTTGTCTAAACAAGTGTTTGATGTGTGCTAAAACCTACAGGCTCAAGCAGATATTTGAAGTAAGCATTGCTGATGCTGATTATTGCTATTCTTTTTAGCAACAGAGGCAGTGATTGTGTCGGTTTTATTTATGGGACACAGAGCCATGTGTGCCTCCACTTAAAGAATGGGTGTGGAGTTATTCAGTATTTTTCTTATTGTCCCAGGAAAAGACCGAAACCATCAATGTTGTGGTCTTTTATCACAATGCTGTACAACTCCCATACTCTGTCTGTAGATAGAACTTGCAAAATTGCGATGTTGCTGCAGCAAAATACTTAAGTGCAACTGTCCACATATTCACAATGCACACAGCTTTTAGCATATTACATTACTCAAACAGGACATAGTGCATTTGTAGGGGACTCTTACCATACTATACTACAGCCACATATTAACACACATTTGGTTTTTCTAAAAAAAACTAAAAGGATAGTATTAGCCAAATTGTGCTCCAGCATCTGTTTTTTTATGACCCTTTCCAGTCTGTCAAACTGATAGAAAATGATTCTTATAAAAACAGAAAACAAAAGTGGTATCACATTGACTAGCAGGCTTGCTTTTGAACTGTCTTAACGTTTCCTCAGGTCCTAATGGGCAGAGTACCAGACAGGGGAGGCCGACCCTGTGAGATTGAGCCGCCTCCTCCGGAGATGCCCTCCTGGCAGAAACGTCAGGATGCTCCCCAAGGCGGAGGACACTATGGTGGGAGTGGGCACGGAGGTGGCAGGGGGGGCTACGATCACTACTCCCAAGGTGGCCGAGGAGGATATGAGAGAGGAGGCGGAGGCGGACATGGAGACAGAGGAGGTAGAGGAGGAGGCAGCAGGGGGGGGAAGGTGCAGGGAGGCTGGGGAGACGGAGGTGGAGGAGGAAGAGGTGGTTACAACCAAGGCTACTACCAAGATGCAGGAGGCCATCAGGGGGGAGGAGGGAGAGGCGGTTACGGAGGAGGAGGGAACAACCAAGGAGGCTTCCAGGACCCTGGTTACCACGGTGGGGGAGGAGGCGGTTACCATGACAATTACCACCAAGATGGAGGCTGGCAGCAGGAGAGACCCGCGGGTCGAGGGGGTCGAGGGGGCAGGGGAAGAGGAGGCCGAGGAGGAGGGGGACAAGGTGGAGGCTGGGGAGGGAGAGGGGGCCAGAATTTTAACCAAGGAGGACAGTTTGAACAGTTCTTCCAACATGGCGGGCAGCACTACAACCAAGCTGGCTTTAATCAAGGCAGACACTACACTAGTTGAAGACACAGTGTGGGGCATCGCAGCAGAGTCCACTCAGATCGACTGAATCAAGCTGAACAGATTTTAAATGCCTTATGAATTTTCAGCACGGTTAAACGTGGAGTAAAATGTTAAATGAGGACGTGGACATGCAAACGGATACTAAAAACACTCACTGCAGGCTGTTATGGAATTCTTGCTTTAATATCAAGGGCACTTCTAATGCAGCCATTTGCTTTTTCATAGTAGTGTTAATGTTTTCTCTGCCTCCTTAATACAAGTGTTCAAGCCAACAGCTCTGTTATAAAGGGTTAGTCAATTAGTTGGACTCTGCTGTGTTGACCTCATTTTGACACTTGATTAGCCTTGGACTTTTCTTTTTTTTCTTCTTTTTTTTTTTTGTTTGTTTTTGGAGATAGGAAAGGTCCTAAGATTTCAGTGTTGCACCAACTATAAGTGCATCTCCTTATTATATGGAGGATTCTTGAAATCCTTAATAGTTTCATTGAATTTGGTGATTACTTGACAATGGCTTCATCTCTCCAGTCTACATTTTCTTTCAGTGGATTTGACTGGAATCTCCTTTGTTATCTATTTAAAAGATGTCATCTTGCACTGCTCATGGAAGATTGTGTGCATATAATCACGGATGTTGGAAGTTTGCATGGATGTGTGAATGAGCAATAAAGTCTTAAATGAGCACATTATCATTTCTTCATTTAGCTGTTGTATTGCCTAGATGAAGGAGCTGTAAAATGTTTAGGAAAAAATTGATTTTTAAATATTGACTGTACAGGTGATAGATGTCTGCACATGCACAAAACTGCCACTAATTCACAAATAAAATGTATCATATGTAAATACTTTATAAAGTATTTTATCAAGTCAAAGCAATGGACAGTATAATTTGAATTCAGAATTTACCAAATTACATAGAGAATTGTTTTTGGCATGCATTTATTCAAATTTCAAATATTCAAACTCTTTATAGAGCTTTTATTTTGAAGAAGTGGGCATGCGCATAAGGGTAATTTAATTCATATTTTATGTCTGGTACTATTTGTATTAGTTGCATCCATTAGCTCCTGCACATTTATTTATGTTGCAGATTAGTGGTTTGAAATATATCATTTAATAAGTGATTTAAAACTACTGACCAAATGTAGACCTTTATTTTGAATTATTTTCTCCAGAAAGTTTCCTGATAGCGATCTCCGCATACAGGCTGGGAATTTCTTATGAAGTCTGACAGGATGACACGGAGGGAGATTTATTGTGACCACAACAGCATTGAGTTTAGTGAGGAAGATGGGAAAAGGGACAGGGAGTACAGCCAGGAAGGTGAGTAGCTGTAACAGAAAAAAAGGACAGGGATAGCTCAGAGAATGGGGAGTGGGGGTGGAGAGGTGAGAGTAAAGAAAGTTGATCCACTGATGCTAACAAAAAATTAGAGGACAAGCTGGAGAAGTGAAGAATGCAAGAGCTTTGGGAGATGGAAACTTGCTTATAGTGTGCAGCATTAAGAGCAGATGGAGAAGTCAAAATAGTAATAGTGGGGGTGCAAGGGAAAAATTTGTGGATTACTTCGTAAGGAACTGCTGGAGAGCTTGAAAAGGCAGAATGAAAAATTGCTAAAAGGATAACATGCAGAGAAAAAATAGACAGGACATTTCAATAGTCTGAAACAAAGGTTCTCCCACCGGAGACAGAGTTCCAACCAAAGCCAATGAGATATTTTAACTGCCAGGGATTGGGGTATGTGACTAAGGTGTGCAAAGGGAACAGAAGATGAAGATGCTAGATGTGGTGGGGAGCATGAATAAGTGTGGAGAGGGAGTGAGACCAAAAGCCGTGTTTTGACCAATTGAACTATGTCTAACTGGGGAGGGAACCACAGTCTTTAATGAAGCTGTGAACTGAAGGAAAAGTGCAGAAGCAGTTAAGATGGCCGGACAGGAAAAATAGGCGGATGCACAGCCACAATAAAAGGGCAAATGACAGCGAATATAGAGCAGAGAAGAAGAGGTTGGGAACGTTGTAGCAGACGCGAGTTGATTGCTAACGCTTTTGTTATGGGACACAGTTCTAGGGCTACCCCAGGCTAAAGGTGTTCCTAGTCAAATAGTTGTCACACGTTTATGATATTAATTTAATTATTTAACTATATATTTTGTGGGCATCAGAAAAGGATTTGAATTCCATAGCTGAGACAGGATGTTTTAAGTAACATTGGTATCACTGTGCTACATTACAGAGAAATACCATAATAAAGCGGTAATGATTCTGAATGTGTGAAACAAACCAGCATCATCATCATGAATCCCAAAAATGCACGTTATAAAGAAACAACTTCCCGTAGGATACGGTCAAAACAGGAAGTGATGTCATATCTTCACATAGGTCAATCCAGTTAACACAAAACCAAAATGTCCTTGGGCAAAAAACTAAACCCCAAATTGCTCCTGAAGGCTGTGCCGTCAGTGTGTGAATGTGTGTAAATTGGTTAATGTGACATCTATTGTAAAGCACTTTGAATGGTCGGAAGACTGGAAAGGTGCTCTATAATCTTGACTCTGTCTGACTCTGTTCTACTCGAGGTTTACACCTATTTAAAGGGAGTTTTTCCTTGTCATTGTTGCCAAGTACTTGGTCATGGTGGGAAATTGTTGGGTCTTTGTAAATAACATTACGAAGAATACGGTCTAAACCTGCTCTATATAAAAAGTGCAATTAGACAACTTCTGTTGTGTCTAAAAGAATTGCAGGGAAGACAATCTCCAAAGAGTAGCAGCAGAACTGAGATCAAAAGAGAGGAGGAAGACAAATATGGGTATTGAGTGAATGGGGAAACAAGAGGAAATAGACACGAGGTATTAATGACCAGACTAAGAAACAATACACACACAAACCTGCAGGATCTGCCAGTCCCTGGAGCACTCCACCCTTGCACACTGCAAGCGGGAGCGCAGATGCTTGGCATGCTTTGAGCCAAACCACATCAAGAAAAACTGCCTGGGCCACACTGTGTGAGGAGATGTGTGGGCACAGAAGAAGGGTTTCTTCTTCTATCATATTGTGGGGTTATTGATAGATCCCAAATGAAAATCACTAACACTTTGAAGTTTTCCAGAGCACCAGCCAACCTGAAAAAGATGAACAGGAGAAAAAGAATGTTCATGCCAAGCCAATGGATTTCACACAATGGCTACAAAAGGTTGGACTCACTGATATTGATATTCACCAGTGGCATGCTGGACAGGTGGGGAAAGAGAAGTTGATTGAGATGCTTGAAAAAATACAATGACACCTTCTCAAAAATGCATTAAACTGGTGAGACAACAGATTCCATGCTTGCATCTTGCTCACTGAGAGACCATTCTGCTCTCCTACCGCTGGGTACCACCACCTCATTACCAAAAACTGTATCAGGTTTTATCAGAAATGGAAGAACAGCAGCTAAATCATTGAGTGACTATGCTTCCCCTTTTGCCCTATTGTGGAAAAAGGTGAAGCATTGCTCTGATTTCAGGTAGCTCATTATGGACCTTCAAGGATGCGCACCTGCTACCACACTAGTCAGACTGTCTGGCCGCTCTTAGTGGAAACTACTTCAGCACAACCGACATCTGGTTTCTATAATATCCACAAGGACTTAAGATGGATCAGAGTTATTACTTTAGGTGTAACCACACAAACTGCAAAATACAGTGCAACAATAAGAATATAGGCATAATCAATAATATACACTCACCTGCCACTTTATTAGGTACACCTGTTCAATTGCTTGTTAACAGAAATAGCTAATCAGCCAGTCACATGGCAGCAACTCAATGCATTAAGGCATGTAGACGTAGTCAAGACAACTTGCTGAAGTTCAAACTGAGCACCAGAATGGGGAAGAAAGGGGATTTAAGTGAATTTGAAGGTGGTATGGTTGTTGGTGCCAGACGGGCTGGTTTGAGTATTTCAGAAACTGCTGATCTACTGGGATTTTCATGCACAACCATCTCTAGGGTTTACAGAGAAGGGTCTGAAAAAGAGAATGTGAATGCACAACACGTGGAACCTTGAAGCAGATGGGCTACAGGAGCAGGCCACACCAGGGGCCACTCCTGTCAGCTAAGAACAGGAAACTGAGGCTACAGTTCACACAGGCTCACCAAAACTGGAAAATAGAAGATTGGGAAAATGTTACCTGGTCTGATGAGTCTCGATTTCAGCTGCGCCATTCAGATAGTAGGGTCAGATTTTGACATAAACGACATGAAAGCATGGATCCGTCCTGCCTTGTATCAGCGTTTCAGACTGCTGCTGGTGGTGTAATAGTGTGGGGGATATTTTCTTGGCAAACTTTGGGCCACTTATCATCAGTTGAGCATTGTTTAAACGCAACAGCCTCCCTGAGTTTTGTTGCTGACCATGTCCATCCCTTTATGACCACAGTGTACCATCTTCTGATGGCTGCTTCCAGCAGGATAATGCACCATGTCACAAAGCTCAAATCATCTCAAACTGGTTTCTTGAACATGACCATGAGTTCACTGAACTCCAGTGGCCTCCACAGTCACCAGATCTCAATCCAGTAGAGCACCTTTGGGCCGACAAATCTGCAGCAACTGCGTGATGCTGCTATCATGTCAATATGGACCGAAGCGTCTGAGCTGTTGTAAGTTGTTGAAAGTGTGTCAGGAAGAATTAAGGCAGTTCTGAAGACAAAGGGGGATCCTACCCAGTATTAAGGTGTACCTAATAAAGTGGCCAGTGGCTGTAAGATTTATTACTGTAAATATAACCACAGAAACTGCAACACAGTGTAACAAAAGGAATATAGGCATAAACAATAATATCGTTTATTTAATAGAGACAAAGGATAATACTCCCGCCATTCATTCGTTCTACAAACAGTAGAGGGCAGCAATACGCCATTTTAGTTTGTAGTCTGCCTAATTCAAAGAAGAAGAAACGCGTTTCCTGTCGGTGCAGACAGTAAAGCCAGATACGCGCAATTGTGTGGAAAAATAGCACATTTGTTGTAATTTTTTCCTTCCACTTGGTTTCTTCTCTCGGTGATACGGGAGTTAGCCTGCCCTCTTGAGCACCAACATGTACCACCCAGGTAAACCTGCGCACGGGCCGCCGCCGTTCGGACCTCCACCACCCCACGGTCCTCCTTTCAGACTCGGGGGGCCCTGTGTTGTGCCTCCTCCTGGACACTTGCCACCTCGCCCTTGTGGACCATTTTCGGCTTCAGCACCGGATAGCCATTTTCTCCACAACAGGCCACAAAGAGGGCATTTCATCAGGGTACGTACCCAGAAGGCTAGGGTAATAAAGTTAGCTCAGATTAACGCTAAAAAGCAAACGGGTTTAACTTCGCTGTTATCGACCTCCGCGAGACGTAACGTTAACGATACCACTGTAACGTTTAGCTAACTGCTGGCTCTGACTTTTCCCAGAACAAGGCTCCTCTGAGTACACAGCATCATATCTTGTGTGCATTTCTCTAAAATATCTAAAGTTAGCATCTTGTGACCGACGCAGGTAGCCGAAATCTCGGTGGGTTACTGTCCTCCCCTTCTTCACTTTAGAGTGTGTAAAGGTAAGTTTCTTTATACAGTTAAATGTACGTTTCTGTATAACGTTAAGGGTAAAGAACATCGTCTTCACCCTTGAATCTGTGCAAACCCATTCCTAAATATATCCTT